ATCACTTTAACTTCTTCTTCCCCTTCCTTCATCACTTTAACTTCTTCCCCTTCTTTCATCACTTTAACTTCTTCTTCCACTTCCTTCATCACTTTAACTTCTTCCCCTTCCTTCATCACTTTAACTTCTTCTTCCACTTCATTCATCACTTTAACTTTCTTTCATGTCTTCGTCTACCTTCTAGTTATTGAACTGTTTTATTCAAATTAAACCTTTTTATTGTGGAAAGTATGAAACAGCCGCGTTTCTATTTCTGTCTTTATTAAATCCTAATGAACCAACATTGAGTTAAACAGACGGATCACGAACAGTTAACGGGTTAAGAGAACTGAGTCCGAACTACGGAAGCCCCGTGCTGCCAAAACATAAACATGATGATGAATTGACTTCATTCTGAAAACATTTTCTCAGTTCTTACTGTTCTTAGGGTCCAAGTAGTTCTGAGATGGGGGGGGGTCTTAAAGACTTTAAAGGTTGTTCCTTACTCTGAAATCTGCAGAAGAAGTTCATGTGAAATGATCAAAAGCTCCTGAACAGCTATTAAATGGACCTGAGATTCTTGTTTTTCAGGTCGAGAATAAACCTTGAATCTAAATGTTGAGATGGATTTAACTTTAATAACTTTTCTATCATTTTGAAATATGAACAATGTTTAAATTATTTTTTAAATTATTGTTCTTCATTTAATCGTTTGATAGTTTGAGCTTCCGTTCTTCTGAAACACGATTCAACTAAAATAAACATGACGTGACAAACAAAATGTTTTCTTCCTGCTTTCAAATATAAATTAATTTGACTACACTGACGTCGCTACTGACAACAACAACAATAACACAGACAGGAAGTAGAAAATACATTCTGACCAACAGTTTCTAACATTTACAGTTAACTTTTTACAAAAATGTCCCAAAAACACGAAGTTCAGGTTCTTGTCAGAGTCTCAGCTCCTCTTCCTCTTCTTCACCTGATTACATGGACGGAGCTTTATATGAATCTAGTTAATAATATTATTATTATTAATGCACTAAGACAGCTGTTGATAGTTAAATAGAAACAGTGTGTTGCTGAAGGTTAAATATTAAATATTGATCACTAAATATGCAGAAACCTGATCAAAGGTTCAGATAATCTGATGTGTCGTCTCGGGACCATCGAAGAAGAGGAAGAAGACTGAGGTCACATGACCAGCACCTGGAATCTTGAAGTGTTTTAAGGGAAGAAGAGACAAAGGTTCTATTTGTTCTGGTTCTGGTTCTACAAGGGTCCACTTGAACCTGGACAACCAGGATCCACAGGAGCCGATCCAGCTGATGGTCCTGTGAGCTTCTCCACATGAGGGTCACTGGTCCCAGTTGAACCAGTTTGAGAGTCTCATAAGTGCCATGAGGTCCGTGATGACGTCGTCTTTAGGAGGACGAGGTGACGCGTCCCGAGGTCGTCTCCCTCGGCGAATACTCCGCCTCCTCCCTGTTGGGGTGGGAGGAGTTATCCGACCTGCTGCGGCTGAACTCCGCCCCTACGATGGGCCCGCTGAACTTGGCGTTGGGCCTCAGGCAGGCGGTGCAGCACAGCAGCGTCTTGAGGAAGGCGCGGCGCATCTCGTTGCTGGTCAGCGTGTAGATGAGCGGGTTCATGGCGGAGTTCAAGACGGCGAGCGCCAAGAACCACTCGGCCTTGTAGAGGATCGGGCAGCTCAGCGTCTCGCAGGCGGCGTCCAGCAGCAGGAGGATGAAGAGCGGCGCCCAGCAGGCGATGAAGCAGCTCAGCACGATGATGACGGTCTTCAGCAGCGCCATCGACTTCTCCGAGCTCTTCGCGTTGGCGCCACCGCCGCCTCCGGCGCCGCCGCGGCCGTTGGTCGCCTTGCGGAAGACGAGCTTGCGACTGCGCGCGCGGACCAGCGCGTAAATCCGAGCGTACAGCACGACGATGGCCATGAGGATGACGCTGAACACCGTGGTGCAGAACAGGATGTAGGTCTTGTGGTAGAGCGGCAGCACGGTGGAGCAGCGCGTCACATTGAAGATGCAGTTCCAGCCCATCACCGGCAGGCCGCCCAGCGCCGCCGCCACCATCCACACGGCGCTGATCAGCAGGAAGACGCGGCACGTGTTGCCGTTGTTGTGCAGCTTCATCTGCAGCATGGTGAGGTGGCGCTCGATGGCGATGGCCAGCAGGCTGAAGACGGACGCCGCCAGAGCCACGAACATGCTGCCCTCCCGGATGAACCACTGCGTCGGCGTCAGCTTGTAGGTGTTGGCGCCCGACAGCAGGATGTTGGCGGTGTACACGATGCCGGCCAGCAGGTCCGACAGCGCCAAGTTCCCGATGAAGTAGTACATGGGCTTGTGGAACTTCTTGGTCCTCCAGATGGTGGTCAGGACCAGGATGTTCTCCAGGATGATGAAGCAGCACACGATGATGAAGACCACCGAGTCGGCCTTCAGGCCCGAGTCCTGCTGCGTCTTGCGGAACTTTCCGGTGTAGTTGTAGTGTTTGGCGATCAGGTCGGAGTAGTCGGGCTCAGCCATGGCCTTCAGGGACAGAGGGGGGCCAGCAGGGTCCAGAAGGGTCCAGTAGGAAGTCTGCAGGGTCCAGAAGGGTCCAGTAGGAAGTCTGCAGGAGGTCTGCAGGGTCCAGCAGGGGGCGCTGGGTCCTCACACTCCTTTACAGTCCTTCATGTCAGGCAGAGACCCTGAAGGGGAGCAGACCAGGTCTTGCTGCTGCTGGAGGACATGTTCCTGCAGAGAGATGGATTCAGATTGTTAGAGAATGAAAAGAAAAGTTTCGCTGAAGTTTCGTCAACGTGATCCAATAAAAATAAATCAATAAAAATAAATGTAAACAATAAACTGTTCAATGGATCAACGTGTTTCTACAGAAAATGTGTTTGTGTCTTTATGAGGACAAAGTTCAGAGAAACTAGAAGTCATCAAATCAAACCTGATCTGTGATCAGCTGTTAGACAACAAACAAATAAACAAACAGACAAATAAGCAAATAAAGACATTTAAAACTTTCTTTCATTTAGAAACGTTCAAGTTTCCTTAACTTAAATTAAAGAGCTCATTTTAAATCTTCACACATAAACATAAAGTAATCGATTATTTCTGTGAACTTTAATCCATTATTTATTACTTCATTCACGTTGAAATATTCTTAAAAAATTCGATCATTCCGGTTTTTTTCGACAGTAAAAAGGAGTAAAAGACGAGACTTCATCTCCTTCGTATTATTAATGTTATTGTTAATTATTAATATTGATATAATCACGTCTTTCGTTGTTTTTCTCTCCGGTAAACCCGCCGCCGTTAAACTGATCGCGGCTCGTTCCGCGGATTTAAACTCAAATTGAATTTGATTGAAACATTAAAACAAATCTTCAGATTTTCTTTGAGGCTTCATATGAATTTTAACGGGAAAAGAATAAACATGTTGTAATGAAGATGAAAGAGTTTTACCTTCAGAGTCCAGAGAAGAGTCCGACAGACAGACAGCAGCGGAGCCTCTGAGGAGGAAGAGGAGAGGAGGGGGGGGGGGGGCTGCCCTCCTCCCCCCTCCTCTTCCTCTCGTTATTGTGTTTCTTTTATCTTCATGATCAGTTCAATAATGTTCAAAACGAAACACAGACAGTTTATTCTAATATTCAGAGATCTATAATCAAACCTCATTCTGATCATTTTTATTGATTTTCTTCAAAATACTGAAAACCTCTCAGAACAAATAACTAAATAAAGAATAAATAAAAACAGAATATATAAACACAAATGTTCATGCCTTACAAACAAATCAATATTAATAATAAACATGCAGTAAAACAAAGAAAATGTCCAAAAAAAATATTATCATTTTTCTGTTGGTTATTTTTATAAATATTATTAAATATAATTATTTTCACTTCTTTTGTTTCCTGTGTGGGAAACGACCAGCTGCCCCCCCTCCCCACTCACCTCTGACCCCTGACCTCCATCATCCCTGTGAGGTCAGCAGGGGGCGGAGTCAGGAGGTTTGTGATGTCACAATATACCACAGCAGAAGAACACTGATGGATTTCAAAATAAAGGCATTTTCAGAACAAAATTGGTTTAATTTCTGTGAATTTCAGATGCCGATAAAAACAATGACTTTTGCTCTTATTGCTGGTTGGTTGGTTGGTAGGTTGGTTGGTTGATTGGTTGGTTGGTTGATTGGTAGGTTGGTTGATTGGTAGGTTGGTTGGTTGGTTGGTTGGTTGGTAGGTTGGTTGATCGGTCGGTAGGTTGGTAGGTCGGTCGGTAGGTTGGTTGGTAGGTCGGTAGGTTGGTTGGAAGGTTGGTTGGTTGATTGGTTGGTTGTTTGGTAGGTTGGTTAGTTTTTTGGTTGGTTGATTGGTTGGGTGGATAGTTGCTTGTTGGGTGGTAGGTTGGTTAACAGATTAACATTCTACTTTTATTCCACTATTGTGCTCGTATCATTTTAGTACATTCCCAGTATGACAACATTTCCCTATTATATTTAATGTATATCCAGTTCTCCATATATTCCCAGTATGACCATAGTGTATTTTCATCGTATTCCCAATTTGGCCCCGATACATTCCCATTATACCGCCAGCATTATTCCACAATGAATCCATTATAATATCATTAACACATTACCGATATATTTCCAGTAAGATTCCGCTCTCATTCCACTATGGTGCCAGTATAACTCTGATACATTCCCAGTATGATCCCAGTAGTATATTGTTTCTATGTTAACTGGGAATGTATAAGGAAACATGTTTAAAGACGGGAGGTGGACACTGAAACCTTACTGGGAACATACTGGTTGTTGGTCACATAACCAGTTTCCAGTTTGGCGCTGAAAGTCTGATAATGGAGCTGAGATGAGGTGGGGGGGGGGGGTCTGAGAAGGGAAACAAAGACCTCTTTCCTCTGCTAACTGTATTCAGACTCTGCATAGCTGCGCGTCACCATGACGACGGCTGGAGGGAACCAGAGGAACCGAGCAGCAGAACAACTCGGACCCACAAACACACACTTTAACTTCTGTTAGACCCTGTTAGGCTCTGTTAGACCTTGTCGGCCCTAACTATAAAACTGAACCAGCCCTAACTATAAACCTGAGCCAGCCCTAACTAGAAGCCTGAGCCAGGCCTAACTAGAAACATGAGCCAGGCCTAACTAGAAACC